CTCTCTCAGCCCAACCCACCTCACAAGATTGTTGTTGTGTGGAAAATAGGAGGAAGGAATATTATATATTTTCTCGGCCTTGAGTTACCCTGTTTCCCCAAAAATAAGACCTCCCTGGATAATAAGCCCAATCGGGCTTTTAAGAGCATGCGCTAAAATAAGCCCCCCCAAAATAAGCCCTCCCCAAAAATAAGCCCTCCCAAAAAATATTTAAATGAATATGCAGGCGGTCCCAGGGTCTTATTTTTGGGAAAACATGATATTTATAAAAATAACAAAGATGAAATAAAAAATGACAGTGATTTAATTCTACTGTGAGCTAGTTAAATTACATTAACAAACCTCTCCCCAGTTCTCCCTCCATAATATATGAGATGGTAAATGTGACTTTTTATTATTAAAGGTGGAGGAACATCTGGCCTGTAGGCTGCCCTACCAAACTTCCCCATCTAACCTGTGTGGTTTTAGGAAGCAGAAATAAAAAATGAATGGGGAAGTGGTCTCAGTGGAGAATCCCTTGAATGCTCCCATCATTGTCCATAATGATAGTGGGGGAGGGGGCTGAAGCAGGGTTCCTGGGAATTCCTCTGCTCCCTTATACATTTCTGTTGGAAAAGTCAGGTCCCAGAAAGCTGCCTCTTTGAACAATATGAATGCGTTTGCAGCATGTTCTCTGGCATTTTCTACAGCCCCATGTATGCTTTCAAAATGATTCAAAGGGTGCTTTGGACTCTATATGAGCACACAGTGCCTCTTTGCTTTTCATTCAAGCAGCTGTGTTTTTTCAGGATTTTATGGAAGCCTGAAAGTAGCCGCTATGGCTTTAAGAGCCCCATTTACTTTAACGACTCCTTCAGGAAACTACATGGTCAGCCTCGCTGGGAAAGGTAGGTTTAGTTTGGCAGAGCAGGTGCTAAAATACCTGAGGATCTTTTGTAAAAACTGCAGAAATAACATCTGAGCAAGTAAAACAATTCCTTTTTTTAAAATTGTGATTTCACCTATTATCACCGGATGGCAACACCAAATGCTTCAATTAACTTCTCAATTTTCAGTCATCACTTAATGAAAAAAAAAACCTTCCCCCATTAAAAGCCTGCTCTCTGATCCTAATTTGATGGATACTTGAAATTTAAAAAGCGAAAAATAACTAAAGACTCCTCTAGTAATATTTTGTTTTTATTTTTAATTCAAATCTTGCTCCAAAATTTACAATAGCATGAACTGAATTTTGATTTGTAACCAGTGGCTTACTAATTGTAATCAGCTGATGCTTAAATCATGTTGCAAAATATGGGACATTGAAAATATTTTGATATGAGCAACGTTTTTCCCAAATGTCCCTGCCCTTTAGGTGTATTACAATAGCTACGTTCAGAATTCCCATCCATTTTTATTTTATTATTTGTTTGTTTGTTTATTTATTTGTTTGTTTTTTAATTATTTGCATCCCGCCTTTATTATTTTTACAAATAACTTAAAGTGGCAAGCATATCCAACATGCCTTCCTTGTCCTATTTTCTCCACAACTCTATATAAAAAGCTAAGGAGGAAGTTTGCTTAATCTGCAAACCTAAATAACTGTCAGGGCGGAGCCAGAGGGAGGAGCAGGGCCGGATTTTCCTATAGGCTAACTAGGCTTCAGCCTAGGGCCTCAAGATCAAGAGGGGCCTACATTCAAATTGTTAGCAAAATTAAAATTACACTTTCACTATAGGTGAAAGGGCCTCATAAGTGGAATAGCCTAGGGCCTCTTTTCATCTAAATCCGGCCCTGGGGAGGAGTCAAGCAGGGACTTATTGTAATCTCTATGTGGGCACAAGAGAGCAAATTCTGAAATCCCCCCACCCATGCCATTGAACCTTATCTAGTTTGGCCCAGGTGCTAACTGCCAGTTTGAGAAGATTCCTGTGTTATAAAATAGCTAATTGAACTTTTTGGGTGTAGATCTGATTGTTCATGTACATCTGATTGTTTATGCCTGACAAACAAGAAGTCCATTGCATTCTGTCTGTGTAAGACTGGACTGGAGATCTGAGATTCTGTGTCCATGGTGCCTCCAAGCTTCTTTTTTGCAGCACTTGGAGATTACCTGATCAACCCACATTGAACACTAGTTTCCTACAGTACTCTGAAGTTATGTATGTATATATGTATGTATGTGTGTGTGTGTGTGTGTGTGTGTGTGTGTGTGTGTGTATATATATATATATATATATATATGTATATTTTCTCAGGTTTTCACAGGTGTTTGTATGTAGGTCTTTGGTTATTCGGGTCTTCTCCCGCGTAAAATTGGAAGTGTCTTGGCGACGTTTCGACGAAGTCTCATTCGTCATCTTCAGGCTGGTGTTCTCGGCTTCGTGCTATATATAACAATAGCCTTGAGGGTCATGATCCCACCTCTGCTTTGGCAGTAATAACCTGAATTTAGTCCCTGCCCATATGTTAAGTGTGCCTCTAGGCTATAAGATGACCTTCCTGTAGCTTAGAGCATACAAGAAAATTGGGTCATTCTCCTTGGTGACCACCCCTTGATATTTTAGGTTGGCCTTCCTGCGTAGAGAAGCCATTGGAGGAGAAATGCTACCTGCTCTAAATTGTTATCTAAGCCAAATGGCATCATCACACACTGGGGACATAGATTTACCCATTATTAAAACAGATACTTGCCCTTTTACTGTGATGGGCTGAGCACCCTTTCTTCCTGCTCTGAGATAATTGCCTGTTTGAGAAGCATTGGGTACTGTCTTTATTAAGACCAACTAGGTCTACGTGCTCGAATGGGTTACACTCTTCATTTTATGACCTACCGGCAGGACCTTTAAAAGACCCAGGGCTGAAGCTTCCTTTGAGGATGCCCAAAGGAGGGTTGCCCTCTTCATTTCATGCCCTTTTCATTTTATGACCTATGGGCAGAGTTTTTGGAAGACTCAAGGCTAAAGCTTTCTTTGAGGATAACAACAGGGTTGTGCTCTCCGTTTTATGACCTACAGGCAGGACCCAGGGCTGAAGCTTTCTTTGAGGTTGTCCGCCCATCTTTTTTCAAAATGTTCTTTTGGTCAACACCTACCTCCATGAGGGAAGTCCTGAGCTTTTTTTCTCATCTCCCACAGAAGAGATCTGACTGGGGATTAAAAGACAAGAGGCACATTTTTATGGCCTGATAAACAAATAGACTTGCAATCTGATAATTTAAGTTGGTGAACTTCTACAGGTTGTGTATATTCAAGCTTCAGCCTGGAAGATATTCTGAAGATAGCTAAGTTTTTAAGTATGACTATCTATTTTTGCTTTGAGCATTTTTGCTTTGCTAGCCAGAATGGCACTACTTGTACTAAGAGGGAGATAAGGATCAGTTTAGGTAATAACTGCAAAAATTGTTTGTTTTTTAAAAAAAGACAAAGCAGCTGAAAGAGAGATGGGGGACTTTAGCCTTGCTCAAATTGCTGAAGGTGATCCTGACAAAGCAGGACTGTCAAAACCTGCAAAAAGGATACGGATTTTCCCTAGAGCAATTGAAAGCAAAGTGTAAAAATAAAGGCAAACTATGTGGGCTTTTGAACTGCCTTTCTATTCCTCAACCTGCTTCCATTCCTTCCATTTCAATCTTTTTTGTGAAGATTGTAAACTAACCTAAACAGCCTACTGATTTATTTATATCCTGCCTTTATTACTTTTTTGTCAATAACTCAATATGGTGAATATACCTCATATAGCTTTTTTCTCCTGTTTTGAACACACAGACATACAAAACTCCTGTGAGATGGGTTCAGCTGAGAGAGAGACCCAAAGTCACCTAGTTGGCTTTCATGACTAAGGTAGGACTAGAACTCACCATTGCCTGGTGCATAAATCACTTGACAAAACTGGTTCCTTTATTCTTTATAATCCTCTACTTCGAAGTACTGGAAAGAAATATGTATCTGTCCTGTTATTGGGACTTTGCACATTACACTGTTTTGGGTTTTGCTTGAAAATGGCTGAAAATGTAACCACAAAGTTATTGTAAAGATATCTTAGCCTTTTTCCAACTGGTAAACTCAAGATTTGACTACAATGTCCCTCATCCAAAGCCAGCAAAGGCCAAAGATGAATTTTATAAATGCTCCTAAAATGTGAAAATAGCACAAGATTGTTTAACTGACATATAAAGGATTTTATCTATTTTGTTCAAAGCTTTAATACTGTAAATTTTATCCATTATTCAATATTTAATAATCTGCAGTTGCCAAATACACACATCAAACAAAGCAAAAAGTAAGCAAACTACATTATGACAACATATGTGAAATCAGTTATTTCTGATTTTCTCGTTTAGACTCAGTTAAAAGTGACCAAAATCAAGCAAGTTTTGGGAGAGGCAAATATTTGGGCCTGTTTAGTAACATACCCAATTCCTGCAATGTTTCAACCATTATGGGGCAGCAAAGCCAAAGACAAATGTTGCATCAGCAATAAATATTTATTGCACTGAAATTACAAATTGTAAAGATATCTTACCAGGCTTCAAGTACATGAAAGGAAAAACAAGTGGTTCCTGAAACACAGGAACAACTGATGACATTTGAATCCCTTAATTTCTACTGTCACATCACAACATTACAAAATGTATAAGTTTCAAATGTTAAAATGTTTTTTATTATTTCATTTTTGTAAACAAAAGTAAAATTACTTCAAAGATTATTGTTTTTTTAGAGGGCAAAAATATATCAGTTTAATGAATAACCTTAATAGATCGCTTTAGAGAATTCCCTGAATTTTTTTGTAGATCCTGTAGCTACATATAGCTTCGGAACACATGTTCAATTAAAAATGCACATATATGCCATTACGTTCAGTAAAGTTTGTTCTCAATAGAATGTACCAGAAAGTCTGCATTATGAGCCATCACAACGCAGCTCCACATGCTTCCCATGTAAGCGACATGGGACACTCCTTTACTGTAGCTGTGGTTGATGTCATTAACTGAAAGAAATACATTTTTGAGCAACATTTACCCTCCTGTTCCTGGGACTCTGGGAAAAGGAAAGGCTGCCTCTGCCAAGGTCTTCTTGAGTGAGGGCCAGCTTGGCTGCACAAAGGATCCCCACCAGCATAAGTGCCTATCTGCCCCACCGGAAAGCTTTTAAACCTTTCAAATCAGGGTCTCTCTCTGCCCTCCCCACGGCATCTCTCATTGGTTCGTTGCCAAGAGGAATGGTCCTCACCAGCCTTTCCATCATTGCGCACTAGATGGCGTGTGGAGGTGGCAAATGGCCCAGGGAATCTGCTTTGTGGATTTGCTCTGGGGCTTCTGTTGGGAAAAGCAAGAAAATCAAGTTTGAATGGCAGCATAATTTGGTTTCTCTTAAAGACCAGAAGGGCCCCGCATGCTGTACACTCTTTATTTTCAAAAACAACCTTTAAAAAAATAATTTATTAATTTTTATTAATAGAGTAAAAGATAAATCAAAAGAAAAATATTGTAAGAAATGCATTTATCCTTCGGTCCAGGGAGCAAAGCTTCTGTGATTGTACAACATTTCCATCATGGCTCTTGGCTCTGTTCTGTTCAGTTTCACCACTGCTTCTTTGCAGTGACTCACCTCCTCAATCTGAGCCTCTTCAAATTAGTTGGACTATATTCTCTATAATCTCTGGTTTTATTCTCAGGTTTTGGATTAGGATAGATGGAGCCTCTCGCTGTTTTTGTACCTGTACAGATACTATCTTTTGTTTTGCATTGTGTTTTTATTGTTCAATGTATTGTGACCTTCCAAAGTTAGTTGGTAATTGAGTGGCACCTAAACTTGCTAGGAATGAAAGCAGTTGTAGAGTTGTAAGCACATCTGGAGATTGTGTTTCTTTCTCTCACACACACATTTCAAATATAGGCACATAATTGCCTTTTGTTCTAAGCTAGAAGGCCAGGGAACTCCAGTGGCTTCTCTCATTCCAGTCATTCCAGCAACATCATTCATTTCATGACCCCTCAGGAACAAAAACATTCTTTTGTCAAATCTCCTCCCTTTATCATAAAACAAGTCTCAGGCCTGCGGTAAAACTGACAACAGTGTGTCATTGTACTTTCCTTACTTCCAAATACCTGCATTGCTGCTTAAGTCTACAGGAAACTTTTCAGAGGGAAAAGGTTCATTTGAGGGACGTCAACCTGGTATCTCTCAAAAAGAGAGCTGGATTCGAAGTTAGGTGTAACTCTGAGGAAAACTGGTTTCACCAGCTTTGTGTGGAAAACCGCACTTGTCAAAGAAAAGAGGCAGGCGATCAGAAACCTGTCTTTCAACTGCAGGGTTTTGATTGCCATTCCAAAAATATTTCACAAACAGATGGGAAGCTTGTGGGTGTAAACAAACAAAATAATTTGTTTATATTTTAAAAATAAAATAAAAACAGTATATTGTGGAGAAGAGGAGGATGTGAACAAAATTTCTAAGCACATTTCTCATTATTGTGTTCATTCAAAGGGGGAAATGTTTTGTGTTTTGTCATTTGATAAGTCTGTCAATCCCTGAATCTGTGCTTGGTGAACTTTCGCCACTTTCTTTTACAATGTTTAAACCTTAGTATCAATTCAAATTAAATATATGTTAAGCAGAAAATAATAATAATGCGTGCTTTAATCCTTATTTGAAGTCTCCCCTTTATTGGATCTTTAAGTTATATTTGAGCTAGAACCATTGAGAGCTTGGATGGGGCCTAAATCCCGCTGCTTATCCACCTCTGTTTATTCTTGACTGTGTGACCAATAGCAGCTATTTACTATGTTTGTCAGGATCCCGAAGCTGGAGGTTGTTTTTCAAATGATAACATTTTCTCAACTTCCTTGCAGTGAATTATATTTCCCTTGTTTTGTTTATTTGAGTGATTGGTCTCAGACAATGTTTCTCAACCTTACCAACTTTAAAATGAGAGGTGGTGACTGGGGAATTCTGGGAGTTGAAATCTATTCATCTTTAAATTGCTGGGATTCCGCTGTGGAATGGCTCTTTGTGGCTAGCATTTCCCCTCCACCCCTGACATTCCATTTAAAATTTCTTTTTGTACTATCATTCAACTTGGTGTTTCTCAACCTCAACAACTTTCAAGATTGTATGATTGTAAGGCGCTCAGAGTTACCCTCAGGTAAGATGGGCAGCCAATAGATTTTAGAAATAAATATTTTATATTTTTTAGATAGACTTCAATTCCCAGAATTCCCCACCCAGCTTGGGAAATTCTAGGATCTGAAGGCCATGCACTTTGAAGTTGCTGGGATTGAGAAATATTAAGTCCATTGTTTTTGATCTGCAACAACTATGAAGAATTTTGCTTCATAGAGACCATGGCTGTCATGTCCATTTTTAAAAAAATATTTCCGCCCCCCCCCCACCTCAAGTCCCTGCTGCCTCACATTCAACCTGACACTTTTTACGATGCTTGAAGGCAGCTGTCACCCAATCTCTGCTTCTCCATGCTAAGTGGATGATTAGGCTGCTTATCATCTTGTTTACTGAACAGGCTCCAGACTCCTAGAATCATTACAGAATCATAAGGTTGGAAGGGATCTTCGAGGTCTTTGAGTTCAACCCCTGATTGTTGGCCAATGTCCTTCCTAACATGGGGTCACCACAATTGGATCCAATATTTTAGGTGTATCTGAGAAGAGTGTCTAGAATTGGGCCCTCAAATGTATGAAAACATCCATCTCCTGGCTCTATTGGCATTGTGGACTGAGTTGTTGGCTATTATGAATTTTAATTTTCCTGTTTAATTTTTGTTATAATTATTTTTATTTTATTTGTTGTTTTTCATTGCCTAAAGTCTCTTGTTGAGATAAGCACCTTTAACAATGATTAAATAACTGCCTCTTTAGTTTGACATAAATTGGTAGTCGTGGACTGTATTTTCTTTTCCTTCCTTTTTCTTTTTTGCAGCTATAGCACCCCATTGGCTTATACTGATACCCCCAGATCCATTTTCCAAGTGTTCCTATCCCATATAGTCTTCTTCACCCTATCCACATGTCTTTAATTTATTTTAGTGACCAAATGAAGAATTTCACATTTCTTCCTATTGAAATTCATCTTGGCACTTTCTACCTGTTGTTCTAACTTGTTCTAAGTCCTTCTGCATCTTGATATTTTGTTTTTAAGATGTTTCCTATTTTTGTGCAGTCCACAGATTGGGTAATCATATTTTCTATCATTTGAATCATTTATAAATATGGTGAATGCCACTTGACAGTTTAGAATAGATGTGTCAAACACACGGCCTGCGGGTTGGATCCAGCCTGCGATAGGCCGCAGAGCCATCCTGGAGACAGCGAGGGACTGGCCCCTGCTGCCCTGGATCCGGCCATGCCCCCCCCCCTCAGTAGGCTGCAACAACCAGGCCACACACCCCAGGGCAAACAAACTTTTGATGTGACCTGCAACGGAATCCAATTTGACACCCCTAGTTTAGAATAACAGAGGTGGAAGGAATCTTGGAGGTCTTCTAATCCAACCCCTTGCTCAGGCAGGAAACCCTATACTATTTCAGATAAATGATTGTCCAATCTCTTCTTTAAAAACTCCTATGTTGGAGCATCCACAACTTCTGGAGGCAAGTCATTCCACTAATTAATTGTTCTCACTATCAGGAAATTTCTCTTGTTTTAGGTTGGATCTCTCCTTGATTAGTTTCCATCTATTGCTTCTTGCCCTGCTTTCAAGTGCTTTCGAGAATAGTCTGACTCCCTCTTCTTTGTGACAGCCCCTTAGTTATTGGAACAGTGCTATCATGTCATCTAATCCTTCTTTTCATTAAACTAGACATACCCAGTTCCTGTAACTGTTCTTCATATGTTTTAGCCTCCAGCCTTTTAATTATCTTTGTTGCTCTTCTCTGCACTCTTTCTAGTGTCTGAACATCGTTTTATATTGTGGCGACCAAACTGGCTGCAGTATTCCAAGCATAACCAAGGCATTATAAAGTAGTGATCTTCATGAGATCTTGATTCTATCCCTCTGTTAACGTAGCCTAGACTGTTTTGGCTTTTTTTTTTTTTTTTGGCAGCTGCAGCACATTCATATTTAAGTGACTGTTCTTTACAACTTGATGTGTATTCATTAAATGTAATTATGTATATTTTATATGAATATAGAGATATGAACCGTGTGCAATGGCTCAGCAGTTAGAGATACTGAGCTTGTCAGCTGGAAATGCTGACAACCCGAGATCAATAGATTGATCTGCTAGGGGTTGCACAAATTGTAATAATTTTAAATATGGTTTTTAAGGAGTTTTTAACTTATTTTGTTATTTTGTGATTTGTATTATTGATTGTTGTTGTAAGCCGACCTGAGTCCTTCGGGAGAATGGCGGCATATAAATTGCAAACATAAATAAATAAATAAATAAATAAATAAATAAATAAATAAATAAATAAATAAATAAATAAATAATAAATAAATAAATAAATAAATAAATAAATAAGCAAGCAAGCAAGCAAGCAAGCAAGCAAGCAAGCAAGCAAGCAAGCAAGCAAGCAAGCAAGCCCCAAGCAACCGGGTAGGCTCCTGTATCTGCCTCAGTTCTCGCCCACCTAGCATTTCGAAAGCATACAAATGTTGAGTAGATTTATAGGTGCCACTTTGGTGGGAAGGTAACAGCGTTCTGTGCGCCTTTTGTATATAGCCATGCTGGCCACATGATCACAGAAAATGTCTTCAGACGGTTCCCTTAGCCAAGATACAAAGATGAGCACCGCGCCCTAGAGTTGGACACAACTGGATAGTCATGTCCTTTATAGAGAGACATGATCTCTTCACCCATCAATTTTGGAGGTTCCCAAGGAGCTGAGTTGAATTTTCAGAAATGATTATTATTCCTTGAAGATCAAAATCAGTTCCATACTCTATACATCAAGTTGGTGCTAAAACAGAACATGATCCTAGTCCACATGAATAAACCTAACGGATGGGCATTGAAGCTGCCATCTTTGAGCCTATCTCATTCTGACGTTTCTGAATATATACCAAGGGATGAGCAGACAGTGGAACAGAATTCTAGATTTTTTTTGCCATGTTTCAGTAGATTACTAAATTCCTAGCCTCCCAATTACTACACCTATCTGTTTCAAAACAAACGACTTATATTGTAGTGACATCATGGCAAGTCTATGTAGTTTTCTTGCAAAGAAATCCGTCAGTATTTACCGTAACTTAAGATTGATTAGGTGCTACTATTTAGGCAGGACCTTAAATATCTCCCCTTAAACTTATACCAGTGAAATTAGGATATTTAGAATGAATTGAAACTGTATTTCGAAAGGGCTAAAGTTGGAAAGGGTGAGACTTCCGCTCACTTTCACTACTTCAAAAAAGTTTGAAGTTAATCTAATGGACAAATCTAAGGGTTCTGTTTTAGTGGGTTCCTCTTCATAACAGGCGTGGCTTTGTAAGGCGAAGCAAATCGTGTGGATGCTCAGTGATAGACAGCTGAGTTGACCAGTAAACTTGGTTAATGGTAAGGCACTTGGATAGATCAGTCGAACCAATAGAGAATGGCGGCTTTATGGCGGGAGATTTCAAATGGCGGGATCTACAGAAAGGGCAGCGAGGCTCGGTCAGTGGATCTCCCACCTTCAAAACTATTACTATGTCAGGCTTAGGAGAACGCTACTCTTTGATCAACAAGAGTGGGGGAACGCCCACAGGAACTGAAGAAAGAGGATGATTTGTCCAAGTTCATTGAACTATCCAATGAGCTCTGGAGGCGTATCTTACTCATTGATAAGCATTGCGTTTGACCAATGAAGATAAGCGTGGGGGAGGGCTGTGCAGTCTTTGTAAGGGAGGATGGTTACATTTATTTGACATTCAATTATCCAATAGGGAAATACTGCTCTAGCTTCTAATATGTGCAGTAAACATGCTGTAGGCAGGATGCTGTTCTGAATAAGGCGCGACTGGAGGAGGAACGGCGTAAGCAATTTGATAGGTAGCATATTTGCCCAATCGGACGCGTAGGCTGGGGGCCGCGTCCTCATTCGACTTCGGAAGGCGGGTTCAAAGTTAATCGACATCGGCAGCGTCGAATAAGAAGCGACCACACCCCTTCCCTTATGTGAGCAGCGGTAGGAATCAACAGCAACACGCATCTCCCCTGTCGAATAACAGACCGAGACATTCTTTCTAAAGGAAGCCTCTGTACACCAATCATCCCCGAGCATGCGGGTGAGAAGTCCGGGAGGCCGCCTTTGCTTCAGGGAGACACAATGGAGACACACAGGGAAGAGGGTGGGGCCGCCTGTGATTGACGGCGGAGCGTGACCAACGGCACCCCGCGTCTACAGGGCCGGGAAATTGACAGGCTTGCGGCAGAACGAATCGCGCTGGGAGGGAGGGGAAATGTGGGCGGGCGCGCGCGCGCGTTGTGAGGCGGGCGAACCAACAGCGGAGAATAAGAAACGGACCGCTCGTGCCGTTCTGCTTGTAAGAGAAAAGAAGAAAGGGAACAGGGAGGAGGAGGAGGAGGGAAAGCGAAAAGGGGGGGGGGGGGGGAGGTTGCGGGGGCAAAGTCCTTTGGGGACGGCCGCGGGTGAGGAGGGAGGGGAGGAGGAGAGCGCGGCTGTCTCGCGCGCGGGTGGTTACACCAAGGCGCGGTGCGCGTGGGAGACCGCGAGGGGAGGGGAAGGGGAGGGGAGGGGGTGGCGGGGAGGAAATCTCCCTTGGGTCGCGTGAGGGTTGCGCGAGGCTGGGGCAGTTTTTTGCCTGTCAAGTCAGTCAGTCAGTCAGTTAGTCAGTCTCTGCCTGTGGGGAAGAGGCCCTCCCCGCCCGCCCGCATTTCCTTTCCCCTTCCCAGTCCAGATCCTGAGGTAACAAAGCCCCCAAATGGGCTTTTTTCCCTCTCAGGATCCGGAGAGCCCAACGCCCCTTTCCCTTCCTCTCCTGTTTCATCCTAAACAGCCTCTGTGAATAAAAAACAACAACCCCACCCCGTTTCCTCATGCTTTCCCTCAAAACCACTCTCTTGTCCTTCAAACGAAGGCTTAGTTTTAGGGTTCAGGTAAGGAACACTCCTCCCCCCACCACCACCAACTTTCCCTTCGTAATTGGCTTTCTGTAAAAAAAAGAAAAGAAAAGAAGAAACAGCAGCTCCTTTAAGCTTAACTCCACCTAACTCTGTCTGCCAAGCTATACTGACCTTCCCTTAATTTTTAGGCAGCATTCTCAATAGGTTTAAAACAGTTTTTAGTCCAGGACATCAGTGGGACATTAGGCTGGGAAAGTCTGATTAAATGTCGCTTTTATTTATTCATCTGTATCCCACTTTTATTTATTTATTTATTTATTTTACAAATAACTCAAGGTGATAGCCAATCAGATTCTTTTTCAAATCTATCACATGGTCTGTGGCATTAACTAGCTTTCTCTCATCTCTTCATCTGGTGTTCTAATCGTTCTGTGTTACAATATCTTCTCTTTATACAGTTGGTCCAGAAATTTCCTATCCACAACTGTTGCATTCGGGGCCTGAATCCAGTGTCATAGCAGATTTGAAGCTCTTGCCCATTGTTATACATACAGGAAGTCCTTTATTTAACGATCACAATTGAGTCCAAAATTTCTGTTGCTAAGTGAGACCGTTGCCCCATTTTACAGCCTGTCTTGCCATGGTTATGAAGTGAATCCCTGCAGTAAAGTCAGTAACAGGGTGGTTAAGTGAATCTGGCTTCCGCATCGACTTTGCTTGTCAGGAGGTCACAGATAACCCTGGGACACTGCACCCATTTGCAAATATGAACTAGTTGCCAAGCATCTGAATTTTGGTCATTTGACCATGGGGATGCTGCAAAGGTCATGTTTGTGAAAATGGTCATAAGTCATTTTTTTCAGTGCCATTGTAACTTTAAACAGTCACTAAATGAATGGTTGTAAGTTGAAGACATCCTTGTACTGTTCCACACACTGCTGCTATAGAGTTGCTACCATATTTCCCCGAAAATAAGACCGGATCTTATTTCCTTTTGGGCCTCAAAATAAATACTAGGGCTTATTTGTTTGGGGGTGGGGTGTCCTTATTTTATTTTTATGTATGAGAAGCCCACTTCTGCTTGCTTGTGGCAGGGGAGGAGGCCATGCCCACAAGGTGGGGGACGGTGGAGCTGCCCCACACGCACCGCACCAGCTTACTTCAGGGCCTCTGCAGCCAGGTTAATTCATATTGCCTCGCGGCAGCTGTTCCAACAATCCCATCCAGCAGGACCCTGCATGGCCACTGTTCCACTTCTGCTTCCTCACAGCCGCAACAGAACAGGAGGCCAAGCGATGCTCCCATGCCGTGGCCACAATATAGGGCTTATATTGGGGGGGTAGGGCTTATATTAGGCGCATGTGTAAAAACAGGGCTTATTTTCAGGATAGGTCTTATTTTTGGGGAAATGGTATTTGAGGTAGGTTTTAAAGCTTTTTTTTTTGATATTTTAAAATTATTATTGTGTATCAAAAACAAATGATGTGTGCTGATTCTTCAGTATCTGTCATGTTAATACCTTTCAGTAGTTAGGATATTTAGGACCCCGGAGTTCCAACATTCAGCTACAAATAATTCTCTTGTATTGGCACTTTCTTGTTTACCAGCAATTCTTTTTACTAGAGCTCTTTGATACCCTGTTTCCCCCAAAATAAGACATCCCCTAATAATAAGCCCAATTGAGCTTTTGAGCTCATGGCAATAAGGCTAAGCACTTATTTCAGGGTTCAAAAAAAATATAAGAGGGTCTTATTTTTGGGGAAACATGGTATGTATGCAGTTATCACTGTATTTGATGTCCACTCCTTCTGAAAAGGACTCAGGTATATGAAATCCTAATATTTTCTCCTTTATAACAGCCTGGAATATTGCATTTCATCCAATAACTGTATGGTAGTAAATCTTGCTTATTTCATAAACAAAACTAATAATGTGAATATACTATTAAGAAAAATATCTCAGTAATTTTGTTCATACAATATAAACAGCCATAATGTGGTTTCCTTATTTGCTCTTTAGTGTGATGTATGAATGAAACCAAATATAGTTCACCCAATAAACCCTGGTTAGATTGATGGCAGTGTGATACATAAGCTAAGTGAGAGGATTTTAGTTTGAAACAATTTTGAAAAATAGGCTGACAGAATTATATATTGGGAAATATACAAACATGCTGTTGTCTTGACTCTGTGTTCTTTTTCCCAACCGGATGCCTCCTGATGTGCAATGGGGTGGCATATTTGTACTTCCTGATGTGCATTGGGCAATGTGTGGTGGCACAGAGCTGCATTTAACTTTTTGAGGGAATCCTAGAACATGATGAACAAAATGATGCAAATTGTGTGGATCTATTTTTCTTTGTTTTTTAAAGATCTGTTTTTGTTTTTTAAAACTATGTTAAGGTGTTAACTATGTTACTATAGGAAAAAATTTCAATTTTTGTATCTCATATGGTAACAAATATTCCCACAAATGTTCAGCAGTAGCAGTCAGGAATCTCAGGGTTTTACAAATTTTAGTCTAGTGCCAGGTTAGAAAATATTGCATTTTATCTACTCATAAAAAATAAGTTATTTAAATTATATAATGCTCGTATAACCATTCCCAAGAATTTTGCCGTCTTGAAGACTAACTGCTATTTTCTTCTTCTGACATTGCTGGGAATTGGGATAAGAAAAGTAAGAAACTGCAGCCTGTTATAGTTCAGAAAACTAAAGTCAGGAAATTCTCTGGCCCAGATTATGAAACAGGAACTTGCATGTTAATAGACTTGAGCTCCTTACAAATAGATTATGGCAATCTTTAATTAACACCCTGTCTTTTGAAGAACACTTTGAAGAAATACTTAGCACTGTATATAATGAAGAAGTATAATGGTTTCAACAACTCTACCTTGAAATAGTCACAGTGATGTAGAAAGAGGAAAAACTGCTCTATTCAGTTTAGTACAGTGGATTTATAGTATTTTGAACATTGCTGTACAAGTAAAAAAATTGCATATGAGTTAATGAATTTCAAACAATTTCAGTGTAAAATATGGAACTTGTAAGACTATTTTTTTCTGGCATTCAGGCCCCAAATTCTTGACTTTAAGATATAGGAATTTTGTTTTTTATTCTCTTCTGTGCCACAATATTCTTTTACTGTTATATATGGCGTAATTAAATCATGAACTAATCACATACATTGGATCTGCCCAACACCCTAGGTCTGTGATGGCGAACCTATGGCACGCGTGCCACAGGCGGCACATGGAGCCATATCTGTGGGCACGCAAGTGTTGCCCTAGCTCAGCTCCAGCGTGCATGTGCATGTCAGCTAACAGGCTGTTTCCAGCCTCCAGAGGGCCTCTTGGGGGGTGGGGAAGGCCGTTTTTATCCTCCCCAGGCTCCTAGAAAGCCTCTGGAGCCTGGGGAGGGCAAAAAACGGGCCTATCAGGCCCACCATGCCATCACATGCCAAAAGCGGAGAGGTCGTGTGCACATGCGGGGCGGGGGCGTATTGAATTATGGGTGTGGGCATGCACGAGCAAGACCCCCCCCCCCAGTGCTCCTTCCGCTTTTGGCACACAATGGCAAAGAGGTCAGCCATCACTGCCCTAGGCTAAAAACATCCTTTGTGGTTCCATGTGTCATGTTAAATCAGAGAACTAATAAATTGTGGTTCAGTTAACAATAGGTATTCATTTCAGGTGAGTATAGCTATTCTCTCACTTCAAATGATTACTTTGGCCTTAGCCGTGTGGTTAAGTAGGAGGCAACAGCTGTCTGGCTTTGGAAGTTAAGTATAGTTGGGGTTGGTTAGTATTTGAATGGAAATCATAGCTATAAGCTAGTATGAGAAGTTGAAAAAGAAGAAGGCAGCAGCAACTCACTTCTAGATTAATCTCAAAAAAAACACATTAACTGATTTGCAGTTGCTGTAATCCAGTAAGACTCACTGGTACTACACAACATGCTGGTACTACACAACAGCTCAGGGGCTGGTAAATTAGAAATAAAGGCTTGACAAGAATGTTGACTTCATATCCCAGTATAGTTTTCACAGTATCATGGTGTTCCTAACTCAGCAATTGATGTTCTCGTGCAAAACCTGAAGGTATTGTTTTCATAATGAGAACAATCCTAGCAGAAATACAAACTATGAAGAGTGAAGGAGTTTGCAGGGTGTCTGGAATATAAATTGCTTTGATTCAGTTAGAAGCCAAATGGGCAGGTCTATTACAAGAAATAGGGGTCTTGCAAAATTATCTGGGATGTGTTTAATTCTGCTAGTTCTGAGATAGGATGCTTGTAACATTAGCTATGCCACTTGTTGATTGGATCCCTGGTTTTCTGGTTGGTGGAGGCTTCTAAGTAGGTGACAGAAGCTGGATTAGAGGAGTAATGAATATATCCTTGAGAAAGGGAGTGGTTCTGCCTGCCTTGAAAGAGGTGATGGTGTACTACTACACACACAGGACACTGACAGGGGTGTCAAACTGCCAATCTGCAGGCTGGATGCGTCACGCACAGGCCACATCCACCCCAGCTCTGCAAATGGGAAAAACATCGCAAAAGGTCACATGATGGCAATGTGACACGGTGAGTTTGACACTCATGCTGTAACACTTTCATTCATACATTTCATTGGAAATGTAAGCTTAGAGTCTATTTATGACTAAAGCAGTGTATAGGCCTGAGTGAGTGGATAACTAGATGAATAAATAAATAGTATTTGGATCAACTATTTGGTATGTGCAAACTGCCATCAGGAGATGAGAGGAATCCTGACATTTTTATATGAATCTAGAGTCAATTTTCCAGCATATATCTTGTTCTAATGAATAAAGCTGGCACTATCCTGGCCTCGGCTCTTGGAGAACAAGTATTCTCAAACCAGTAATTCTAGCCATCTAGGGGAAGAATGAATCTGAAAAACAACAATGCAGTTTCTGTTACGTTTTTTTCATCTCTCAGTGAAAATAGGGGGACATTCGGTCTTATCTCTTGAGATCCTATATGTGCCAAACTACTTTGGAAGTAGGGGTAGCAAGCAGCAAATGAGCCTGCTTGGCAAACCAACTAGTATTTGAGGATTCCTGTTGAAGAATGCCTAATGTGCTTGATTTTTGGAGTGGGATTGGGGTATCAAGGCATTAAATATTCACTGTTAAGGCAGTGAACTATGTAGAAATATCATTTGTAAGGGTTGATAAAGTGGGTCTTTTGAGTAGGTGGTATAAAAAGTTTTGGAAGCTTTAAAGTACCATAGTGGAGAGAATTTTTTAACAGATTGGGACCAAATTAGAAATTTAAAGTGGGCATTTTGACATCCTGGAGTAAAAACAATTATGCATTTATTTCTCTGCTCCTTCTCATAGAAACATATATGATGCAGGAGAGAAATCCTGAAATTTCTGGAGTGTTTTATTTTCAGACATATATTTTATTTTAACGTACAATTTATAACGATTCATTCATTAATTGTATTATACAGTTTATAGTACAATATAAACTACTAATGATAATAGAGTATTACCGGTAAGTCTTGATCCTGTTAATGTTTTGTAAGTCTACATTACAACTATTTTGAGAGAGAAGTGAAAAATGCATCAACAAAGGGGAGTGTAGGCATCAGCAAGTTTGGAATACTTCTAGTTCCAGTATCTCCAGAACTAGAAAGGGGCAATAATTCAAGAAATATATGTTGAATGTTTTTGTATTTTAAAATGTAATCTCTCTGGTCAAATTCATCTTTTGGTGATGCACGTGGTTTGCCATTTCCTTACAATGTTGCTTTGACATCCCAATCTACTTTATATCTCAGGGATTGCTGGTATTCTATCCAGGACTAACCAAGTCCAACCCTGCTTGCCTTGTGAGCCTCACAAAGGTTAGTCAGATGCTGCCACCTACTGGGTATCTCCCAAATATTCCCCCTAGATGGATTTTAACTCCTGTTTGGAGGGCACCGATTTGAGGAAGATAAAAGAGGAATTAGGTTTTAGAGTCTAGATTAAAATATTTGTATTTCATGTTTTGAGTTATGTGGTGTGTTTTAAAAACAGTTTTTTAAGAAATATTTCATAGAGATTTTTGCAGTGTTTGTTCCCTCTCCTCCTGACCATGGAGAATTTTGTTTTGTTGATCAGACCAAATGAAAGTTATATGAGCTTCAGGCTTAATGAAGCGGCGCTAGAAGATTTGTCACAATATTAAAAAGTTACATCAAATATAAAGCATAATGAAATAATTTTTGTTCACCAATTCAGTTTGTTAGTGATTAACCTGCAGGTATAAAAACTGTGTTTCTTGGCTTATACTTTAATTATAAAAATTGTAGTACACAATGGAAACATCAACATAGTACAAACATTATGAACAAATGTGGCAAAATGCTATTTTTACCAGTAATTTTTAAATTAGTTTTCGTTTATTAGAACCATTCTAATGAAGGTTGACTTTCTTTAAAAAAGGAAATCTTAGTGTACATGCAAATAGCAAGATAAAATTATGGTAGGGGTTGTAGGGAATACTTCTCCTTATTTTAATATTTGCTAGTCCTGCTTTTATTGGAGTTTTGATTCAGATTCCCAACTTTCCTGTATTTGGCTTTAATTGTCTTTCTCGCTTCTCTCTTGTGGCTAGCAGAGTTGAGAACAGCATGGTTCTAGAAAGAAGATGGGGTCTACTAGGTTAACTGCAAAAGAACTATGTGAGAATGACGACCTTGCCACAACACTAATTCTTGACTCCTACCTTGGCTTTAAGACTCATAAAATGAATGTAAGGTAAGATATAGGAATGGACATGGAATAAGTCTGAAAATTAAGATTATAAATAGATAAGGTTTTTATATATTTGTATATTAAGTGGTGAGGATTGAGAGTACAGGTAGTCTTCGACTTACAATTGGGACCAGATTTTTTATTGTTGTTGGGCTCTGAATCTGGCAAAGACCACCTGTGCTACAGCAGATTTGCAAGCACTGGTGCGCAACTGAGATGGGAAAGATAAGCAGGTAGGGGGAGTTGCAGCACGTCTGTGATTGTTAGTGCAAGTAAGCTACCAGGCACCTGAATTTTGAACACATGATTGCAGGGGTGCTGCAATAATTATAACTTGTCCATTTAGCACCATTGTAATTTTGAATGGTTACTGAACTAATGGTCATAAGACTACCTGAAATGAGGGGGGGGAAATGTTACAAAAGAAATTCTTCCTCTTTCATTTTTATAGCCCACTCCCAGCCATCAGGAGGAAGCACCATTTACGGGAGGCAGTAGAAGCTTTCCGGAAGCGCAAGGACCTAGAAGCAGCATATCAAGCCTTGATGCAGGGTGGCTGGACCTGCCAGTATTTTGCAAATCGGAGCCATCAGCAGGAAGCTGCCCTCAAGACTCATGTACAATCCTGGTTTTTGCCTGTTTAATGGCTGGAAAGCATGTTGAAGTCTGAAAAAGTTATATACACTTTTTCATCCCAATCCCATTCCTTTTGGATTTATTACATTATGTCTCTTATCATCCTAGTCAGTAGGGCAGTTAGGTGGTGGGAGTTTAATTTAACACCACTCCAAACAATCAGGTTTGGAAAGGTTGTTCCATAACAAATTATTTATTGTTAAAAGTGAATCACGGGGCATGTACTTGTAACATAAGCTGGCAGTGAAGGTCCACAGAGGCTGGCTGTGGATGAAAGGACCAAGAAGTATCATTTTCTTCTTTTTTATCTTTTTTTTGGTTTGAAGTTTTTAAGCATCTTCAACTGATGGGAATGTGAGCTTGATAGAAAGAAAATCGTTTACGAACTATAGTGAGATACGTTTTATATAGGAAGAGAGTAAACATGTTCATAGAAAAGACAGGAGCATTGTTTCTAACTTAGTACTATCTCTCTATTAGTTCTTCCAATTAACTCCCTTGCAATAATTTTATTTTATTTATTTATAATTATGCCTTTATTATTTTTTGTAAACAACTCAGGCAGCAGACAATGCAGCAAACATATCTAATACACTTCTTCCTCTCTTCCCCCTTCCCCATACCCATCTCAGATTTTTCGGTACCTTCGCATTTTCCTTCCTGAGAGTGGTTTTGCCATCAGACGCTGTAGTCGATATTCCTTAGAAATAAATGGAGCCCGGGTGGTGTCTACAAAATCATGGTAAGTTCATACTGCTATTGCTTTCCCATGTGGAAAAATTATTAACTTGCATGCTGGATTATACTAAGAAAGAGAAATAAATAGAAATAGAACTATGACGCATAAAACCCCAAAAATGTATAAACCAACATTGAGAGGAAAATAAAGGGAGGGGCAAGGAATGCTTTTCTGATGAGTGTATTTCATAACAGGGCATGTCCATTAGAAAAGCTTTCTTTCCAACTAGAATGCAAAGAAGTGGATAATAAAGTACCCATGCATTTGCTCTTGCACGTTTTACTTAAGATTACAGCAGCATAATCCTCTGGATAGGTAAGGTTATTTTTTTTCCCTCTCCCATAAGGAGAAAGAATGATAAACTGGAGCTTTTAGAAGGCTACATTGCAGAACTGACAGAACCCGATGAGAGCCTCCTCCGAGCAGGTGAAAATGACTTCAGCATCATGTACTCCACCCGGAAACAGTGTGCCCAGCTTTGGCTAGGGCCTGCAGCCTTCATTAATCATGGTAGGTGGAAGCCTTCAGGTGCAAGCTAGAGAGGTAGTTGCATCAAACTGTTTAAATTGCTATGAAAATGATAATGGTAAGTCTCATATAACTGGTCTTATAACTTAGACCAACTGATGAGGAGAAATAAGATAGCTTTCTATCCTGGATCAGAGAGTAGTAATAAATAATATTCTAGTCAAGTATTTGGGAAATTGAATTTTCTATAGATATCAATAGGGATACATCAGAACCAAACAGTGGAGAAGTAGGGAACATGCAGTTGTTATTAATGGGGCAGTACAGCAATCAGGATTCAGTTGAGAGTATATTATTCAGAGCTCACGTGGGAGTGCTCATTAGACCTGTTGACATTTCCTTAAACCCAGTGTGGCTTTTCTTGGGCTATTGTGAAACAAGGGAAAGACACAACTTCTTTACAGAATTGCTACTGGAGCTGGGTGAGTGTCTCCGGATCTCCAAATCACTTCCCCCCTTCAAATCTGAAGTGCTGCATGGTCTTAATTACAGTATTAAGAATTAATCTAATTTCAGCTAGCTTTGTAAGTGCTTCTGACACGGATACAGACAGACAGGACTCTATACTTAAGTTATTGGGTTGCCAAAATTTGCATTATTTTTCATTGACAGAATGTTTTGAAATCTGTATGAATCTTGATGTCTAGATACTGTTTTGATTTTCTCTTACAAAAAATGAATATATTTTCCTAGATAATATGATTGACGAGGTAATAATACTCAGGCATCTTTTATATTCATTATAACAGTCATTGTCTTTGGATAACATATAGCTGAATTGTTCCTATTAATGGTTTCTTTTGAGATATTTTTATAATTTAGTAAAAGGGCAAGAAAAAAGGCATTGTAGTTATAGCGAGTTGTTTCTTTGGTAGAATTACTGAAATTTAAAGGCACTGAGACTTAAAAGAAGGTCAATTGGTTCTAAAGAAATGCAAAAGTCCCTACTTATCTGCCCAGTTAATGACCGGACAGAAGCAGTTTCTTTGTAGGCAGTGGCCTAATCATGTCACTCTGTATGTGCACCTGTGGAAGTTATCTCATTTGTTATTTTCTAAATTAAGCATTTGCCAAGAATTGTGATTATTTTAGCAACTGGGGGGATATTTAGGTGCCAGCTATCAATATAGGTGGCTTGTAAATTAAAAATTAGTTTGCATTGTCTAAGGAACTTCTTATCCTAAATGCATTTGAACATCTAGTTTATGTTGAATAGAGGACTGTTTAATTATTTTGAATATGGAACCAAATTCTATAAACATTTCATCTTAAACTTGTGCCATTCATATAAAGACTAGTTATAAAAAGGCATTAAGAATAAGATGTTCTAAATTTATGTATTTATTATTTATTCATTTTTCATATTTCTAGATAGCCAAAATGGGAGATGTTTATTTACCAGCTATTTGTGAGGCAATAGTCTTTTAAGAAAGCTTTCTTAGTTGTTAATTGCTTAAAATGCTGTATTAGTAAGGCTTTCAAATGACCAAGGGATTAACTGATAGATTTAGGGTTCAGAATTTAACTGCAAAAGGCAATAATAAATTGAACTTTCTTGGAAGCTTCTTATTCAGCCACAGAACTCATAGAAAAACTTAACTTCCTTTCTGTATTTTAACATTTTCATTAAGGTTGTAAGACATAAGGCACAATTGTTTTGCACATTATTGAGTGAGAGAGGTTTGTTATAATGTATTTATACAAATGACAAGTATGTTGCTTTGAGCTCATAACGTGGAAAACAGCAAGGATTTAAGCCAAATACAGTACTTTTCTTTGATTGGATTTCTATAATTTATATGTCACCTACTCAATTGATTCAGATTGTAAATGCTTCCAGATAAACCAAATGTACTGTTGAAAAGATGAGCAAATTTTCTCTGCTGCAACTTCTGCTAAGAAGGAATACTTGTAATCCATGTTTAGCTCTTTTTAAAAATGTTCCTTTTTCTTCTTATTGTTCCCCTGCAAAATGTAATTCCTACCCACAGACTGCAGACCAAACTGTAAGGTAAGCTGTGTTGATGTATTGTTGGGGCAAGGCAGTGGTGAAATCTAAAATTGGTTACTACCAGTTCTGTGGGCGTGGCTTGGGGGTGGGGGTAATGTGACGGTGGGCCTGGCCATTTTTTTTTTACTTTTAAAACCATTTTTTACATGTAAAATCATGTAAAAAAATGCTTTCAAAAGGCTCTGACGATCCCAGCTGAGTTGCCTGATTGTCAGAGGGTTTTTAAAAAACCCTCTGATGATCAGGCAACTCAGCTGGGATCGTCAGAGCTTGGATCGTCAGAGCATTTAAAAGAAAAAAAGCCTCTGATGATCGTGCGGCTCAGCTGGGCATGGGGGCAGGGATTTTTGCTACCGGTTCTCCGAACTGCCTGCCGCCATCGCTACCTACTCGCCCGAGCCAGTCCGAACCGGGAGCATTTTCACCCCTGGGGCAAGGGATGCTGTTCATTAGAATACAAGACTCTGAGCTTGGGATGAGGCCTAAATGTATTATTGACTGCAGTGAGGTTGCAGTGAGGGGAGAGGTTGAAATAGACCAGTAGCACAATATATTGTAGTAGTGCCTGGAAAACACTTAGAAGGAGTTGTGATCGTCTGAGGCAGAAAAGTATCTCCTTGTAATCCTAGAAGCTCTACCTCATTGGTCTTCTAATTCTTTACTGGAGGCACAAGACTTTTTTCTATCTTGAAAGCTGGAAATATGCTATAGTTTTCCATTGTTTAGGATCGGAAGGAACCAAATTCCCTTTGATATCCTGTTTTGCAAAATTGTGCTAAAAGGAGTAAGAAGTCTAAACAAATAGTTTTGAGAAAGAGCTGATTTGAATTGTTAACTTTCTGAAGGGGAAGAGGAGACTGCTGCATTCTCCTCTCCTACGAGCTTCTTGAATCTGCTTCTTTCTTTTCCGATTATCCTTTTTTTCCTGCTTTTTCTATCCCCAACCCATTGTTTGTGCTATAGTTTGTCCCAATGGATGGGAACACTGCTTGTGTCAAGGTGCTGCGGGACATTGAGCCAGATGATGAGATCACATGCTTCTATGGTGACGGCTTCTTTGGGGAGAACAATGAATTATGCGAATGCCACACTTGTGAAAGGTGAAAATGGAAGAGAGCAGAATCTCAAATATTGGGAGCTGGTTGGGAGTTGGATTTCTGAGTTTCTGAGAAACAGTTGCAAGAAGGGAAACCAAATGATAATCTGCATTAATTCTTGCCCCCATCTTCCAGTGTTTTCAGCAATCATTCCTGGCAAGAAGTGCAGATTGTTTAATGCCTAGGTATTAACAAGCCTTAGTTCTCAAGGGATAGTTGCTAGCGAGCATAGGATTTTGAAAGGGGAGGGGCAGTATTTTTCTTCTATTATCACAAGAGCCCTGGAAAGATCGATGGTAGCATCTAAAAGTTAGGAAGAGGAAGTTATATCTGTTCTGACACAGAGTTTATCAGTGGGAAATCTCTTCATCTTTAGTGTTACGTTATATGTTATGTTATGTTATGTTATATCATGTTTTAATTTTGCATGCATTTAGCAAGTGCCTTGGAGTTTGTTTTCTCGAAAGATAAAAAAGGATGTACAAATATTCTGAGTAAGCAGTGATCTTTTTGATTAATGCTGGGCTGCTCCTGATACTGTCTTTCATTCTCAATTTTTCCTTAGGAAGGGGGAAGGAGCTTTTCGCCTCCTGAATCGGACTCCATTGCTAGCTACCTCAGTCAGTGAGAAGTACCTACTGAGAGAGACAGACGGCCGTCTGCAGAGATGGAAAAATCAGTCTTGCAAACTTGCTCAACGTAATGTGAAAGTGGGACACAAAGCCCGGCGCAGGAAATCACAATTACATGGTGAGATACGCAAAAATATTTAACTGGAATGGATTTTGTGCATCATAGTGATGTGAAGGGCAGTATGGTTTGCTTATCACCTGTAATGTAATCATAAAGTCCATTATAATGAAGACTGTTACATCCTTGTCAGCCTCAGGGTTTGTTCCACAGCAGTAGTTATCCCAACTCTTTGTGGTAGCAAAAATAAAGTAGTAATTTGTTTTTTATTAAAGTGGGTACTCAAGAACTATTCTAGCTACAGTATTAGATTAATGCCTGGCAGAATTAATTGAGTAGCCTAGCATGCTTCCTGCATTGGGAAATGTAAGCAATGTTCAGATATTTGGCTCCAAAGTGGGAAAGATAAACTATCCTGTTGCTGCCTCCTTAATGTTTTCTGGGATCTTGCACTTACTGTATGATTTCAGGAAAATGTGCAGCTTCTCTGTGAGACTGCTGACAAGTACAGTGAACTTATGCCAGATCTGTTTTAAAGTGTCAAATATTTATATGTTCGAAGAAAGAATTTATAGGATTGTGGATGTTAGTGTCAGGGGTGGATAGTGAAGCAGTCATACACTTACTCCATCTTCTTAAAGCCCTTGAATAATCCAGGGAGAAATGGAAGTTGCCTGTTGTGTAGTGAAGATACAGCAGCAGTAGTTAATAAGAAGAAACTGGGAAGTGGAGTGACGTTCTTATAATTGATACCACTTTTCCTTTTCTAGGTGCTGTACACAGATATACCACTCGCTGGTATTTTAAGATGCTCAAGCCTTTATATATCCCAGTGCACAACTGCTTGGCCTGCAGAACACGTGGATGCAAGCTCCGTAAGCAGCCTCTGGTGTGTCTGCTTCGTTGTCCTTCTCCTGTGTTATCTGTATTGCACCTCAGGCAGTCTTTGGGAAACAAGAATTGCTACTCCAAGGCCCAGCAAAGCTGCTCTCTTATAAAGATGCACAATTGCCCTGAAAGCCCTGGCTTGGCCAACCAGGGCAGCCTCGTAGTGAATCTTGGGAAGAGAATTCCCTTGGACTGGGCAAGGTTTCATAGGGAAGTAGCATGTGACATTAAGGAGGAAAACACCAATCAGGAGTTTAGCCAGGGGACTGAGGAATATGATTCAAGGGATATGGAGAGTCATGCTGATGTTAAAGAAACCTATGAATCAGGATCTGGGGTTCTCCATTCAGGAGAGCAAATCCCCCTTGATTCTTCAGGTTCTCTTTCATCTAGTCAGTTCTTGTGCAGAACAAGGAGCACGGCCCAGCACCAAGCTCAAGATTTGCCCCAATCTCAATTGTTATTACCAATGGTAGACCCCAAGCTTTCCCAGTATGCTCACGTCCGCCTGGAAGGCCCACCTTTTGGAGGCAGGCAGTGCTGGCAGCAGCCCCCTTCAGACAAGACGGAGAAGGAACAAGCGGAGGAGCAGCATCTTCCTAAGCGGATGGTTTCCTTTCCTCCTTTTGTTCCACCCAAACGGCTTCGACTGGTAGTGAGCCATGGTTCCATCAACCTCGAGGTAGCTGCAAGCTCCTGTGAGGAGATGTCCTCTGATCTGGCTGATCTTCTGTGATTGAAAACAAGACTTTAGCTTCTTATTGAATTTACCCATGATAACCATCTACCAGAATTTGCCTGAAATTATCCATCTTTTTGTTGTGCCCTTCTCCCCATCACCTTGTATGGGTTGATAACATCTCTTCTGAAGTAATGTCCCCAGGTGGGCACAAAGCTGCCTGTGCTAAAAACGCAGCCTTGTGTTCGACTCCTACTTTTTTCCATTGAAATTGATATTTCAGTTATCGTTCCAGAGTACTTCCTTTATCACTTCCTCACTATTCTTTTAAAAAATATTGTTCTCCTCTACTTTGCCAAACTTCACTGTATAGTCTTTAAACCTAAGCCATATAGTAGACTGCATGGATGCTTTGGATTGCCTCCTGGTCTTTTCTTTGAACTCTACTTTCTCTCCCACAGAGTCCTTTCATCTCTCTACTCTCAATATCTCCATGCTCTGGTTTATAGCTCTGTAGTCATAGACTTCTTGACAGATGGACATGGTATTTTGGCATTTATTGTCCCTACAAAGTAAGGCAGAATTGGTGAAGTGACTTGTGGAGAAAAGAAAACCAGCATCTAATCAGGGAAGTCTCTTTAAAACTTATTGTGAGAAAACCAGCAACCAGAAGTGCACATTGGCATGCAGCCTAAACTGTTCAGTCCATTTAGCCTGAAGGCTGCTCTTGGCTAAACAGGCTTATATAGGGAATTAAATGTTCTTGCTCCTTTTCTTTTGCCGTCTCACTGTTTGGGTGCCTATTGTTACAAAACAGCTAATTTTCTAGTTTTGGAAGCTACTTTTATATTAGTTAATCTGCGTGACTTGTTTCTTCTCCCAGTTAGAGTTTTAAACAGGTGTCTGCTGGGGCTTTTTAGAATCTTAATGAACTTTAGATATTCAGGTGTTTTATATTTGATAAAGTTGAGCTGCTTGGCTCAGGGGCATTGCGATAAAGGGGCTTCCTTCTGTGAGAGGCTGATGAGCAAAATAAAAGTTCTACTCAGTTTAATGTGGCCTAACTCAGTTCAAAGTCACATATGGTAAGTGGATTTGCTGTATATTTTTCCCATTCATCTTGCCATGAGAGGATTTTGAACAGATAGGGCACATTCTGGGAGAAATCTGAGTGCAAGGTATATGGGGAGAGGTGGTGGCAATTGAATTGGGTGAAACATTGAGGTCAAGCTTTTTCTTTAAATGCTTGCTTTGTTTTGAAATTTTGTGAAATCCTTTGTGGTGTTGACTTTGGATATATATCCAAGAGTCTTAGGACAGCCTGATGTTCCTTTTCCAACTCCTCCTTTTTTGTTTGTTTAGTATTGTAGTTTGGTGCAGTTAGTGTTAGAGAAGCTTGTCTAGATGACTTGAAGGTCATGTTAAGATGGGGGTTAAGCTGTGCACATTTGAGAATAAATTTCAATAAACTTAGACTTTCTGTTAAATACCTATGGGTAGAATCCAGCATAGGTTCTTCGATCTCTGAAGTTGGAAAATCTGAATTATAGAGCTTTTAGAGTAGCAACTAGTTTGTCTGGCATGCATTTTTGGTCTGAGATACATAATGTATTGCAATTCTGTGTTTTTCATTGCTCTGGAAAACAGAGCAATTCCTGGGAAACCACAGTAATTTTGAAAGTAGTTTTTAGGTACAAGCTTTGAAAAGCTAGAATGAGCTGATACTGTTCAACCTGTCCTGAGAAGGAAATCTTAAGAAGAAGAACCACAGACAATGCATATCCGTGTAAAAATATCAGAGAAACAATACAGGCACAGAGAGAGTAGAAACAACAGTTTTCCACAAATTGATTGGGAAGACATAACAATAGCATATTTTTGGTAACAATTTGAATATTTTCCTATAGGTGATTCATATGATTGTCCAGAATTACCACTGTCTGTGGACATTCTTCCTTTTACTCTCCCAGACCTGTATGAAAAAAGATAGTTTTAAAAATGTTAGTGAACTTGATAAATGTGGTCCTTAACTTATGACCATAATTGGGACTAGAATTTTGATTGCTAAACCATGCAATCATAAAGTGAGACAAAATGGGACCACATTACTCAGTGACCACAATTCTGGCAGTTCCTGTCACTGCAGTTAAGCAAATTTTACTGGTCATTAGCCAAGGACCCACTCCAAGCATTCTGAGATTGGTCCCTTCCAGACCTGAGGCTGCCTATCTGCCCTCCCCCCCACCTCCAATCTCTGCACTTTTGGCTGTCATGCACTCTGCCTTGGAAAGCTGCAGCTGTTCCGATTTTAGTTGCCCTGGTCATCCGGCACTCTGAGACACCCCCCCCCGCCCCCACTCCCCATTGCCCCAGTTGAGCTTTGCTGCCATCTTCTTGCTTCCTTTGCTAACAATGTTTACCCACCGTGGCTATTGGGCAGAATTGGGACTCTCTTCAAGGTAGGGGGGAAAAGCACAAAGTCCGTTCCAGAGCTGAAACATTCCTTTGCGCTGTGCTCCTGGGGACAAATAGGGCTGGCTTTGTGGTATAAAAAAGTGGGGGGACCACAAAGCAGCTGCTGAAAGGAGCTGCTTTGTGGGGTTTTTTTCCTTTTACATAGCATAAAGCCAGCCCCATACATCCCAGAGCATGGTGCAAAGGGGCATTTTGTTGTGCTGTGGCCCCTTTAAGCTGCTTTGTCCTTTTTTTGCAGTGCAAAGCTGGCCTCAGCCCAACGCAGTACAACCACCAGGCCTGACATACCTTGTCAGCAGTAGAGCAAAAAAAAAAGTGAAGGTTAGCTGGGGCACATAGCACAGGGCAGCAGAGGGCCAAATGGGAATAGATTATGAGGGGCGCGGGGGATAGGCAATGGAAGGAGTTGAAGTGCCCCTGCGGTGGTAAGTGTGGGCAGGCTACTAAGCACCTGAAGTTTGATTATGTGACAGGGCACTGCCATGGCTGTAAGTTTGGGCATGGGTCATAAGTCCCTATGTTCAGCTTCATTGTAACTGAATGCTTGCTGAACAAATGGTTGTAAGTCAAGGACTACTTGTATCACATTGCTCACTAAAATAATTGAGACATAGCTGAAATTGTACATCTTTTTCCTGTTCTGTAAGCTTGCTTTATATTTGTGAAAATTTGAACATAAGGCACATTTTTCTTTCCCCAAAGTTATGTACGTTAGTAATCATTTTATATTTCATAATAATTATTCCATTGATTATTCTTGTTAATTGCACATTGTTGTTGGTTGCATCACAGAATGTGTGATTCACTATGTATGATGCTATTTTAATGCCTATATGTGAGTGTCTATGAGAATAGTTTTGACCTAAAGGTGAGATGATGTCTCATTAGTTTTTGAATTTTCTTCTACAAGATGTGCATTTTCATCTGTGTATCAATGTTCGTGCACAGCGTAGATATATGTACTAAAAAGAAATAGAAGTTTTAGTGGTTGTTCTGACTTTGTGGCCTCTCTTAATGTGGGTGCCCAGACTTGCTTTCTTGCTTGCTACTTTCCACTTATGGATGTTCCATGTTAGTTAATAGTTGGAGACTAGTGGCCCAGCCTTTAGATAGTGACTGTAATTGGGGGGTGGGGGGGGGGGGGGGGGGGGAGAGAGGAACAAAGAGGGCAAAAGATGGTCAAGGGTTTTGTGTGGGGAAAGGTCAGGGGTGGGAAGGGTGGATATTGCTAGTCAGGATACTGTACATTCTCTGGAAAGACAGACTGGGGCTCAGTTTTCACCTTTCTGTGCCTCTCTTTCCCCCATCTTTCCTGGTGGGTTTATGGTTTGTGCTACCTCATTTGGGAAAGGAAGCATCAAGGCACTCTTCCATCTCTGACTTCAGTCTTCTTTCAGTCCAGTGTCCGTTAAGTCCTGTCATTTCTTTTCCCACTTTCATGCTTTCAGATTTTAAAAAAACATACGTGTTCTCATGAGGTGGAGTGGTAGCAGATCCAGGTTTTGTTGTGTTTTTTTTTTGTTCTAGCATCCTGTGTGGGTAAGTTTTTAAATCAGCCTCTCCAGGTTCAGCCTCTGCTTGTTTCCCTGATAATACCATGGTTTATTACATTGCTTCCATCTTTTATACGATTTTTCAAATATGCTTTTGGCCTGGAGCCACTCTATCCCCATTTCAAAAGAAAGATTGAATTCCACTTCTCCATAAAAGTTATGCTCAGGAGGGTATGTTAAGATACCTTGATTTTCACACAGCTGGGAAAAATAAGCAACCTGGACACTGGGGAAGGTCTCTGATTGGCTGGGTTCCTCAGGGAGTGGTTTGGTAGAACCCTGTATATCGTTTTTCTGCCCCAGGTTTTAACCACAGTACATCAGTCCGACTACCTGCCTTTAGTGGTGGGGTCATTGCAAACTTGCTTCATTAGGAAACAAATTGCTCCTAATACGCACTAATACGCACTAACTAGGGTTGTGGGGAATTTGTTCCATTGTACTACCCCATCACTCAGCATGTTTGAAATACTTTATTTAAATGGAGGATTCTTCCAGAACTTCAGAAGACAGAGTCCAAAAGGGGGTAACATGGAGCACATTTTCAGGGGCATGTGTACTCTGCCAAAAAAAAAAGAAAAAGAAAGAAAAAGTAACATAAACTGAGCTCTGAATTTGCATGAATTATGATAATGAATTCTTAGGCCTTTTTTTGTAACATGGCAATATGTTACAGGAAATTTGGCCACAGGAAAAATTGATTAGTATGTCCCATCTAGCCTAGCTGGTCTTACCTTTACTGTCATCCCAGTGTCAAGGGGCCAGGACTCGTTAGATGGAAGAATTTCAACAGGACCTGGACTCAAGGTCAAATCTTGCATTGGTACAGTATGATTGAGTGCATACAGCCCTGGGTGTGTATTAGTTTGGTCTGAGCAGGCCTGAGAGAGGGTGGGGAGGGTAAGAGGGTTGTCTGTATTTTTAATGGTGCTATATTTGGAAGGGTTGATGGAGTTTACTCTCAGCTCCAAGTGTAGAAATTTGAGGCCTCAGGGTATTTCCTGCCCCATGATCAGGCCGGTATCCTGAAGTGGGGTAAAGGCAGAAACTTCTGTTTGTATTTTTAATGGTGTGTGTTAGGGGGGAGGGGGTGCATAATACTTTTTAAAATACTTGATTGAAATAAACTCTTCTAAAACTGTTCCTGTTTCTTGATGTTGTGATATATTTACTGAGTGCATGACAAGGCTTAATCCAAATCTGCTTCTTGTAAGATTTATTTGCAGAATTACTTCAGATATAACAAATGCTAGTTTAAAAATGAACGTTTAAAAACTATTTCATTATACAGACGGATAAAAGAATGCTAAGGACATTAGACTCAATATATATTCTTCTCTCTTAAGGTAAGTCGAACATTTTAGACAGACTGAATGTAAACACAACTAAAAGAAGTATACCTGTGGCATAATGATTGAAAATGAAGTTTCATTGTTAAACAATTATATAATATTCAGCTGAGGACAATAGATAGATTGTTCTTCCTTCCCATGCTTTGGTAAAAGTTTGTTTTGAACCCAGGAAATTTTAAACCCAAGCAAACAAGTTTGATAACAAAATAAAAATGCTTGACAGCTTTGAGGATAAATTTGATGTTACGAGTGTTGAACAATGTTTAGTAAGATACTTTATTGTTTCTTGTCTGCAGGGCAACTTAATGTAGGCATATTTCAGTTCAGTTCTTTTATTATTTTGTCATGAATCCAAAATAAAAGTATAAAAATAATAAAAATATATATTTATATACCCTACCCATATTTATATATGCATGAATTAAAAAGAAAATATTTTAAATAAAAATAGGGCCCTAAATACAATAGATTGCATAATATGAATATTTATGAGTTTGCACAATTAAAAAAGATTATAGTTTGATACTTTCCAATAAATAGATTAATTATCTAATTCTTTCCTATTGGTAGTTAAAGAGTTGATATGGATGGTCTATCAATTTGTAAAATTTTAAACAAATCATGTGTACATATTCACAGTGAAGAATTTTATTAAAAAAACCTTTGCAAAGAGTTATAGTATCTTTAAACTTTGATATTGAATTACTTTCTTTGTGAAGTTTAATATTTACTTTTTAAATATTTATTAGGAAAATATTTAATTTTCTAATCATCTATTAGATATTTAATCCATACTGTTTAGTTTCAGTCAAAAAGGGAAAGTAACAATGTGAAGCATAACCAATATATTAAAATAATTTATTTATTCAGTTGAAAAGGTAAATGTAAGGTTTCCCCTGTCCAGTTGTGTCTGACTATAGGGGGATGTGTTCATCTCAGTTTTTTAGCTGAGGCAACCAGGGTTGTCGGAAGACAGTTCCATGATTGTGTAGCCAGCAGGACTACAGTATACGCGAAGGTGCGCTGAATGCTGTTACCTTCCTATCGAAGTGGTATCTATTTGTCTGCTTACATTCGCATGCTTTCAAACTGCTAGTTGAGCAAGGAATGGGAGCTCACTCAGTTGCGCAGTGCTTGGGTCTCAAATCCAGGTTGTCCGTTTTTTAGCTGACAAATTCAGCATCTTTAACTGCTGAGCTATCATGCCCCCACTTATGCTGTAGGACAGTGCAGTAACCACTGTTCATTTGTAAAATTCTTCAGGACACGTCCAATGCTTGGACTTACATTTTATATAACTCTTTTCCTTGGCCTCTGTTGAGGAAGTAGTTTCAGGTTTTTTTTTACTTCATGGGCGAGGACCGCAACATTCTAGCTTTTTGCTTGTTTTATACAAAGTACCGTATTTTCCGGCGTATAAGACGACTGGGCATATAAGACGACCCCCAACTTTTCCTGTTAAAATATAGGGTTTGGGCTATACTTGCCATATAAGACTGCCCCTCTTCCAATGCACACCAAATAAAAATTAAAAAACATCAACTGGCTCACCCACAATGTAAAAGCAGCTGTGCTAGACCCAAAATGGCCCCTGCAACAAGCAGGAACCTCACACAGCCACAAAAAGTCCAAAAAACCAACTTTCACACTTTACACACACAAAATTCCACATACAGCTTTGTGAGATTTTGTGTGTTTGTGTAGTTGGAGTGAAACACTACAGAAACACACTAAATCTCAGAAAGCTGCACAAATATTATTTTATTTTATTTTTATTTTTATATGAAAGCTAAATTTAAAACTTCCTAAACAGCTTCCTAAATGGCTAGGTCTAAAAAAAGAACAACTAAAAAAACCCCAATTGACTATTTTTTTTAAAGCTCCCAAAGGGGAAAAAAACTTACCCAATAGAACAGGGGTCTCCAACCTTGGCAACTTTAAGACTTGTAGACTTCAACTCCCAGAATTCCTCAGCCAGCTTTGCTTTGCTGGCTGAGGAATTCTGGGAGTTGAAGTCCACAACTAACTCCTTGCTTGATTGCAGGCAGGGAGTTGCTTGCTTGCCTGAATAGATTCAGGCAAGCAAAGCAAGGCAAGCGTTGCGATTAGCAGCTGAGGTAAGCAAGCTGGAGGGGGAAAACTTTTTTCCTTTTACATGGCTCTGGCCATCCCAGCTGAGTTGCAGGGAACTCAGCTGGGATGGGATCGACCGTCAGAACTGGGACCGTCAGAGCATGGTTCTGGCGATCCCAGCTGAGTTGCAGGGAACTCAGCTGGGATCGTCAGAGCTGGGATCCTCAGAGTAAAAGGGAAAAAACTTGCCTTTTACGTGGTTTCTGGCGATCCCCAGCTGAGTTGCAGGGAACTCAGCTGGGATCGTCAGAGCTGGGATCGCCAGAGCCATTTAAGGCTCGTCAGAGCCTTTCGGGCTGGTCTGCCTGGTTACAGGAGAACGACACCCGGCGTATAAGACGACCCCCGACTTTTGAGAAGATTTTCATGTGTTAAAAAGTCGTCTTATACGCCGGAAAATACGGTACTCCTCTCTACAAAGCTTGTCTATTTTCCAGTTTATGCTCACGCTGTAGAAACTTTCAGTATGAGATGGTCCCAAGAGATGTAGTCAGAAGTTGGTGCAGAAAACACTTAATTCTGATCCTTTTCCGATACTGTGTTTATCATGCCCTCCACCATCAATTCTCTTGGTTCTTCATGCAGGCATATCTAACATTAAATGGGTATTCATGTGCTATTTGAGTAAATACTGTTTTTGATGCCTTCATTGTATTTTACAAATATTCCAGGCATGCCTTAAGTATTGTGGGAAAGCTGGAGAAATGCACAATTTCTAAGTAAAAATACTACACAGAAAATGTTAGTTATTACCTTGGAATTGTAACTGTTCAAAACACTCTATTAATACCACAGGATGAACAAAACTGCTCATAGGTTTTAACATTTTGTCAGATGTTTTCCTGACCAGTAATGGAAATAAAGCCAAAGGCCATGATTCAAGGATACAACTCTTCAAAAGCTAGTTTTACTGTATGTGGAAGAGCAAAATTGCAGGCACCTGTGCTGCCTGCTTTCCCTCTCTTGAGTCGCCTTTCCAGTGTCAATATCACAGAGTTGCCAAAAAGCTCCAATCTTCACACAGGGGCGAGAGGAGACAGGTAGTTTTGGAGCTCTGCAACCACCAGCAAACAGTTCAGCAGCCAAACAAAGGAAGACATTTTTCCTTAAGAAGTGGACAGTCCAAAAGAAAGGAGAAGAAGTAGCAGCAGCCGAGCAAGACGAAGCACAATATAAAAAGTACAAGAGTTCAGGCATGGGTGTTTTCATTGGGTGCTACTTTAGCATAAATATTGGTACTCATGGGGAAGAGAAGGAAAGATTGAGACTGCAAAAAAAAGTGACTTTAAAGAATACAGTGCAGTTCCCACTGCTTAAGTATGGGGTAATGCAACATCTTGGAACTGAAGATGGCCCACCCAATTTTCTGCAGCTCACAGGTGGTTAAAAAATGTAAATATTACACTTTTTTTAAAAAAAATTATTTATATGCCGCCCTTCTCCGGAGACTCAGGGCGGCTTACAATACATTAAGCAATAGCCTTCATACTTTTGTATATTTATACAAAGTCAGCTCATTGCCCCCACAGTCTGGGTCCTCATTTTACCTACCTTTGAAAGGATGGAAGGCTGAGTCAACCTCAGGAAGGTACACTAGTCTACCTTCCACATGAATTGTCAAGGCTAGAAAGGGTGACCTGACTTTTCATGCAGATGTTTACAGAACAGTGAAGGTGAACCTATGACATGGGTCACAGGTGATACATCACAATATTTTGAATGACATACCAGTGTTCACCAATACCCCACAACAACTATTCTTGAAAGCACACCCTGTTCTCATGATTTTCAGAGGATGTGGAGGCCACATTAGAATAGGGTGTGCTCTGGCACAACCTTCAGAAGTTGCATGAGAGGGTTAACTTATTTCATGAGCTGCAACTCAACTCAGATGAAGAGAAACCTGGGAAGAAGCATTTCAAATCACTCAAAAGTTCTTTTAACTATAAATGTGGCTGGGAAATTCTTATGAAATTTTTTTAAAAGTAACACTAAGCAAACGAAGGAAGTCAATTATATAGATTTCAGTATGGTTAATGCTAGTTTGGGGAGTGTTTTGGAGGGGGTGGGGTAAATAATTACAAGAGGGTATTTTCATCCTCATTAATAGTTATTTACAGTGGAGCTTCTTGGAATATTTTAATTTTTTTTTCCCCAGAGTTTTCCCATCTGGGCTGGATTGCTGCCAACAGGCTCACTTCCTCCGGATGCTTTAAAATTACTTACATCTGTGTTTTTTCTCTCTTCCTTTCCGTCACTTCCCTGCAGTCTCTCACATCTGCTGAAATGTACTATTCTATGATTGAAGGGCTGGGCTACAATTTTTGGCCTTATCCCCCCCCCCCCCACAAGGGAGGATTTAAGAATGAGAATGAAAGTAATTTTTCTTCCCAAATGCCTTCTTCCCCCATACCACATAAACACAAAGAGAAAAATGGAGCAGAAAACATCAGCCCTGTCCAAATGTCTGTGGAGATTCTCAATCATCCAGGCTGTTTTTGGGTGAGAAGCGAAATGTTTTCAAAGAAAACCAAGGAAGTCCAGTTGTCTTTTGGAAAAAGCACCTTTGGGACATCAATCCTGTCAATTTCTGTGATACTACCACAGTCTGTTGTCACTGCGATCCTCTGAAAGATCAGGGGGCCAAACGTAACCC